TCTTCTACTGTGGTTCTAACATCAAATCAGACGAAGAATCACATGATTCAGTCTTCAGATGAAGAATGACAGGTTTACACTTCTCGGCGCAAAAAGATCGGGGGCACACTCCAACTTGAAAACTTAATGGATGATACTTTAGTTACTCCTGACAATGGCACGACTCTTCAAAGTTTGTTATTTGGCTTCGCTCCTAAAACTAGAGTAAGAGGCAAGACTAAACTGACTCGTCCCTAGCTACTTGTTTTCTACATGATTTAAATTTATTTTACTTTTTATTGAGTCTATATGTGTCTTTTGTTGGGTATTATTGTACTTGCATCATATGGGCATGGTGCCTCTTTTGGGCTCTCTCATACAACCTTTATGTATCCTTTCTATTTCAATAAAATCAGCCCTATTGCATCCTTTCGTCGATCATGTCTTCAGCTGCTCCCTTCATCGTCTCGAGAAGGCCTCCCGTTCGTCAGGCTCGGCTTCTAAGGCGTCCTGCATCTTCGGCTTCGGCAGTTTCTCAGTTGCCTCGTCGTACCCCTTCATTCCTCGTGCTCGAAGCAGAAAATCTCGCACCTCCTTTGGCTTTTGTTGTTTTTCCAATGCAACTTCACTGTTCTTAACGTCACGCCTCCTTGTATTCGTGATGGCTTTGGACAAAACGTATGTTGATGCCCTTGCGGGTGTTCACGCCTCAGGTACTCTGAAATCGTGTTATTTCCCTTCTTCGTTTGCGTCAGCGGAGGACATCAAAAAACCTGGTCGGAAGAATGGGAAGCCGACCATCTTTTTTTACGGAAGCAGAATGTAATCAGCTTGTTTTCTTCTGTCGTCTGAATTTGGTCAAAAAATTTCTTTATGGTCATCCCAAATTGAGTTTATTCGTAATAAATTTGAGCTTATGCACCTTGTTGGGGAGTGAAAAATTAAACTTTTAAATGGAAAACATCCTTATTCAATTAAATAATGAAGAAGATTACACACACTTATTTGCCAGATAACAGAGCAAAGAAAATTTTGAAATGATCGGTGGATTTTGACCCACAAATGGAACCACCAATCATTTCGGTCTGGATTCACCTCCCTGACATGAAATTTCATTATTTTATTCAAGAAGTGTTGTACTTTATTGTCTCAACCTTTGGTAAGTCACTCAAACGGATATTCCTACTTGTAATTTTTCTCGTCCCTCTGAAACCAGGGTAGTTGTTGAAAGGGACATCACTTCAATTGCTTATGAGAAAATTTGGTTAGGCACACAACATCATGGATATTAGCAAAATGTTGCGATTGAGCATTTCCCGTTGTATTCCTCGAATTGTCGTATGTACGGCCACTCCATTTCTCAATTTCATCATCTACACCCTCATCTAAGACCAAAGAAGCAAAGTGTTCAACCAGAGACGGTGATTCCCCCTCCTCTTAATCTGCTCCAAGTTATTGACACTATGGATCATCAGAAGGATACTCCTGAAGATGTCACTATCCTCACGGGTAATATGTCACACAAATCTCATGATGTAGGTCCCACATTTCCTCCTATGGAACCTTTTTTCATGGGGGCAGGGGAGACATTTCATACTTCATCAGCCCTAGAACCCAACTTTAATGTAACGGGTGGTAATATTTCTACTGTGTTTCTACCGCCTCATCAGATAGAGCAAGTTGTTATTGTTAGTCAGACACACGAGGTACATGATGTGCAACAGCCTACACCTGTCCGATAATTTTTGGACCAATCCACTGATCAGATGAGCCAATCTTCAGATTAGGAATGACAGGTTTGTACATCAGGGAAGAAGAAGAAGAAGAAATGAGGCAATTCATGCTTAAGAGTTATGATTATTAGTGTTGTGGAAATCAGCCCTAGAACCCACCTCAGTTGCAGGAAACATTAGTTGAAGAGGAGACAATTCATGTTTCACACACACTAGAACCTATAGTCGTTGCAACATTTGACAATCCTTCTTCTGGTGCTCATCAGTTTTTATCTGCCCGGCGTTCTGTTTAACAACACGATGATCAGATGAGCCAGTCTTCTGAGGAGGAAGACAGGTCTATTCAAGGAGGAAGAAGAAGATTGGAGGTAAACTTCAGCTTGGGAACCTAATGGATGATACTTCGGTTACTTCCGGAAATGACTCGGCACTCAACAATTTGTTATCTGGATCTTGCCCTAGAACTAGAGGCAAAGGCAGGACTAAACTGGTTCGTCCCTAGCTACTTCTTTTCTGCGATTTTGGTATCTTTCCTTTTTTTGGGTTTCTCTGTCTTTTCTCTTTTGAGTTGTTTGTGTGTTGTATCGTATGGGTAGGGTGCCTCTATTGGGCTCTCTCATACAACATTTATGTATCTTTCCTATTTTAATAGATTTAGCCCTTGTGCTTTTCATATATATGTATGTATATATATATATATATATGTATATATAATATTAATAATAGGTTTAATTAAATCAGGATTTAAGCTATAGAAGTGTCAGATTGAGGGGAGAAGAAAGTTGCAAGAATTAAATTTGCATTTAAAGTGACAATCTCAGAAAGGGTAGAAAAAAGATTATTTCGATCAATGTGATTGTGCAATAGAAAAAAACATAGAGATTGTAAATATTTACATTTTTATGTATGTTGTATTAATTAAATGTCATTAGGTATATATTGAATTTTGTGGGTTCGATTCTACGATTAGATTTCATAAAAAATTTGATTGAAAATGTGGTTGGGGGAGAACACGTAAACTAACTAGTTATTAGCTTATTTTTTTAGAAATAAAATACTTATATAGGCAATTTTAATTGAGATAAGTGATAGCCAAAAGAAATGAAGGAATAAGCAATTAAAGAAGTTTCCAAAAAGTTAAGGTGACTAATTATTACTTTATTCGAGTTAAATTAAATTCTTTTATTCTTTTAAAATATTTCATTTGTTACACATATTAAAGAAAATCTTATAAATAAATGAAGATAAGTAAAAATGATTTGATTATTTTGTAGTTTCATTTGCCTTATTAACTGAATTAAAGAAATAAAAAATTAAATAGATTTAACTATTGAAAGAAAAGAAATATAAGTTAAATAAAAGATAAATCATTAAATGTATCATGGGTCACAATGTAAGATACTAATAGGGAATAATATTGTAATCATGCATGTTAAATAAAAAAAATGGAAATGGTTGTATTTTGATACAAAAAGAAAAAAGAAATGCATTTATGAAACAAAATGAAAAAGGTTTTGATGTTACTCTTGAGATTGCTTCTAAAAGTAAAACAAAATAAATATTAACTGAAAATGAAAATATAATTGATAAGATCATTAAATTAAATGTTATTGAATAAGCAAGACAGTTTTTTTTTTTTTATAACCATATTTCTAGGAGCATTCATGTTAGGAATTTGCATAACATTTAAAGCATAATAAAGTAGTAAATATTCACTAAGCTTCTTAAAACTTAACATAGTGTTTAACTGGAATTTTTAAAATAAGATTTGCTAGAATGATATGTTTAATAGTAGAGAATTGATTTACATGAGATGAAGCACTGTTGGGGATATGTAGCAGTATTTTTTTTATCTATTTTGTCACTATTATTGTGTTGATTGTGTTACTATATCACTGGATGATTGTATGTGCTTTGCTAGAGCCTATTTTATAAATTGTGGATTAATGACTCTTTTTTATATGAATATTATTGTGAACTAATGTTAATGTTTAGAAATATCTTCCATTGTCTGATTGTCCATTCCCACCTTAGTTAATTCTAAATTCTTCCCACGACTTCCAAATTTCCACAGTCACTTGCTTGTACTTCCAGAATGCCGCAGAACCCATTCCTGCGATCCCAGCATACCACAAACTCTCTCCCGTGCGTCCAGTCCATCGCAATTCCCGCTTCATACGATCCCAAAATGTTGCATATTCCCTCTACGTGCTTGCACCAGACCGTTGATTCCCTCTTGCAGCTCCAACAGGCCACCGCCCCTCTTCCAGCTTTCACAACAGGCTTTCGCCTTCTCCCTGCACTTCTCGGCATGTCGCAATGACTCCCACACCCTCCAGCAGCCGCAGCCATAGCCACCTGCAGTTTCCCTCCCGGCCCTCCAAATAGCCACCCACACTTGATGTATGCCACATCGCAGCCCCTATTGTCCCCACATTCCAGCAGTCAGCTACACCTGCTTCTAACATCAACCTTTCACAAGCCACCCGCACCTGTTGCTCCCTCTGCTTAAAATCATCGGCCGCACCTACCTCACCGCCGACGTCAGTAGATACTTCCTAGCTCGTAGTCGGATCACGCTAGTCTTGTCGTTATTGTTTCGAGTCTTTATTGCACCCCTCCTTATTTGCTTAATAATATTTGCCTTTCATCGTTGTGGGTTGAATTAACTCCAGTATCAAAAGGTAATCAAGGAAAAAGAAACATAGAATACAACACAAAAACATTATAAACTTATTTCACAAAAAACCAAAATCATCCTCTTATGCACTAACATACACCCCCCTTCTCAAATCCTTTCACCCAGCTGGCTAAAACTACCGACAGAATCCAACACAACTGCAAGATAGATCCAAGCTATAGAGAGAAGGTCAATTGTTTGGAACAACAGAATCTTCAACCAACAAGTAAGCACATTATCAAATATAGAAATATAAAAGCAATTATGGTTGTACTAGTAGGACAAACGTTTGCTGAAATTGTGCATCAAGGCATGCCTAGAGAGCAAATTGATGGTAGATAACCATAAAAAAAGTGCTGAAAGCTCCTTCTATACTTTCAAATTTAATTGGCGTGACAATTATGCCAATTACTTCAGGTTACCATTTTTCTTGCTAGCAACAGACCATTTAAACTAGTTTCAAACAGACGAATAGGCAAAAACGGAAATAGAACCCAACCGAAGCAACATTACTAGAAAAATAAAGATTTTTCACATAAGTTTTTTTTTTTTTTTTTCCTTAGAAAAAAGAAAAACAAAAACAAAAAAAATTAAGGATTTTATCTTACAGTCCCAAGGGTAAGTAAGCTTTTGTTTATGTATGAACCCTCTTTACGTCGCAATCCAGTGGTTTCAGCCTTCGAACTTTCTGAACCTGCAAGATCAATCAAATTCTGCAAAAAAAGCTAAAATTTTTATTAATAGCATTAAATAAAACAGCTTAGATCAAATCATATATGTTTACGGGCACTTAAAATTACCAATTGAGACAGCGTAACATCTTCATCAGGGCTATTTTCATCAGAAGGGCTGCTCTCAATTGTCTACAGAAATTCATAATTAATCAATATAAAGTCAAATAAATCAAGAAAAACTGTTTTCAGACAAGAATAATATTCTAAACATAAATTGATCCCAGTTCTCATCATTAAAACATAGATTGTTAATCAAACTGCAGAACAAGCTTTGCGAAAATAAGGATATCTTAGTAAGTTATGTTAAACAGGGCAATTAAAATGGCACATAAACCAGTGAATAAACTTCATACAAAATAAGTTCAGCCCAATTTAATATGGAAAAGGACCTCACGACGGCACAGAAATTTAATCACAAGGGAAAACTTTCAAGCTAAAATTGATAAAAAAAAATAATAATATATGGGTTGTGCATCTTAGAATGATAAAACAAAAGTTGGCCGTCTAGTTATTGGACACTCAGGCATGTTTGGGATCCCTTCTATTTTTTGTTTTTTTTATTTTTGTTATACCTTTATTTTAAAAATATGTTTGTTTAGTGTATTTCTTTCATGTTTTTGTTTTTGGCTTTCAAAGCAAATTAATTTGTTTTTAAAAACATTCCAAACACCTAAAAATTATTTCAATTATTTTTAAAACCAACAAATCATATTATAACGTACCATACATGTTTCATTTTGAGTAAAATAAATAAACAAAACAAAACAGGACGAAAAAAATAAAAAACAAAAACCAAAAGTCCAAATGACCGCTTAATTATAGTGGCAGAATCATAAAATGCATTTTGACAGAGCTGCAACCACGCATGTCTATATCGAAGTGCAGTTATCTGTGGCTGTAAAGATATGTATGTGGGTGCATAAGCTTGCAGGACTTTATGAACTACTTGCCAAAACAAACACGAAGGCTGTAAATAAAATGGATTGCTCTAACATGAAATGAGATATAATCAAACTCCCTAGATCAAAAGCAATAAGTATCCCAGGTCCTGAAATGGTTGTATTTGTCCAAAAAAGAAAAAAAAACGTGCATGGGAATTAGAACAGGAAATGGAATTTTGACAATTTCCAATACAACAACAATAACAACAAGAAGCCTTCATCTCCATTGAGTCCTAGAGCGTCATATTTTTATTTAATTCTAATAAATTAAGATCTTTTTAAACAAATATTGATACCGAAGGTAACTAAAATCCAATCGAAAAACAGATTTTCTTATGCAAAAAAAAAAGCAACGGATTACAATCACGACCTTATAACAGAAAGAAAACACAATACAAGCATACCGTTAGGGCGAAGCTGGACCGGCGATGGTGTAGAGGTAATGTGGTTTCGGAAAGTGGCTAGCAAGGGATGAAGAAAAGTTGTTGTTTGGATGGAGGTGGGGGGGTGGGGTTGCCGAATGGGAAGTTGGCGGCTGTAGAGGGGAGCAGGTTGTAGGCGGCAGTACATGGACGGTAGAAATTTAGCAGTTCTGAACAGGAGGGTACAGGCAAGGTAGGGGGCTGCAAAGAGACAAAAGTGGTAGGGGTTCCGACGGCCTGCGGGAAGGCTAAGGATATGGCAACAACAACCAATAAAAGGAATGATACACCCCACATTGGGAAAAGATAAAAGTAGAAGCACATTCTTGTCGTCGGAAACCAACCCAAGAATGGAAAACAGGACACCGGAGGTTGTCCTAACAAAAATCTTAAAGCAAAAATTCAACCTTAATGGCATAAAATAACATAAACATAGTAGGTAAGTAGGAGGCAAAGACCCCTCCGTTAGGGCCGCAGCCCTAGCCTCGAAATAAGAGCTGATCGGCCTTGCAATCACTTGGTTGAACCGGTCCAGTTGTTCTTTAGTCGGTTCAACCCCCAAGGATCCTCGCATTCGTCCCCTGGGATTAGGGAGGCTATGACCTCAATCGGCGAAGTTTATAGTTCTTCTACTACAGTCAAAGAAGCAGTTAGATTCCACTGGCTACTGCACCGACCCCCAAGGCACCTGAGGATTTTTACCCGCTTGCAAGCAAACAACCATATCAATCTTATCTTTGGGGAGTTCACTACTGATTAGAATTGGGCTTACGTGTCACATATAAACTGTTAAATCCTCCCAAAGTAACCAAGGTTAGCTCAACCTAATCTGAAGTGAAGATGACATGAACCTCCCAAGACAGTGGTGACCATCGCGGTAAGGTAACAATCGTGTTATCCTGAAATGCTCTTTGTCGTGATTGTCCCATCAGTCTTATCATCCTCTGTCATCACCAACATTGATCCCACAGACATTTCTCACCTGGCAAAGGCACCTATAATCTCGGACTTCGCAGAATGTAGGAGGATGATATGCATACCATCTTCGATGGAGGTGTTACTATACCCATCATGTCGAGTCTTGTGATCATGCTGTCACGGTCTCCCCAGCAAAAGGTCGCACACATTCATAGGCACCACACATGATTATGCAGCGACTTTCAATCGAAAATTCCACTAGACGTCACCTATAAATACTGACCCTATTTTCCATTTTCAACCACGTCAGAGAATATGGCAGCGTAGTCGCCACGTTCTTATTGCTCCCTCCATTGATGATGAGACGGCATGTCTTTTTGTTCACAGTGTAAATTAGAATTAATAGTTTATTTGTTTATGAAAAAACAATTCAGGTATGACCAATTCAAGCATAAGGAGGAAAGACCTAAATTGGAAATATATAAAACTAAAATCTGAATCAAGCAACCATTAGCATACATGTATTTATTGCAGTAAGGAGACGGACAGAGAAATATCCCAAGCCAAATTGCATTTGATTGGTCCTTTAAACACATCAAAAAAGAAGGAATCTCATTAAGAATAAGAAAGTATCTTTGGGAATAAGAGATGCGTTATTTGTTTGTCAGAGGATGTTGGCTGAGATGTCGAGGCAGCAAGCGGAGTTACGGCAATGGGGAAGTGGGGAGGGTGTTATGGCGGTAAAGGAAAAAGGAGGTTGGCGACAGGAATAAGGGCAAAAAGAGTGAAGGATGGGGGGATGATAAGTATCTCTGTCAGATCGAGTTACAGCCAGAGCACCACTCTAACCGTTGAAGAAGACCATTTTGGACGATTTACGGTCAACGCACATTTTCGCCTTCGGACAGCCCTAGAAGGGAAAACAGCTATCAACAATGAGCTGAGCATAAATCTAAACTCCGAAATACCAAAACTAAACCCTATGTCAGCAAACACACAAATAAATAGAAGATAGATGGATGGGAAATGAAAACAGGAAGATTGGAATAATCCTCGCCAAGTGAAATAAGGGAAGAAGGGTCGGTTCAGCCCCAGCCTCGTGTTAATCTCCCGAGAAAGGGGAAGCTTTGACTTTATTCGTCAATTTTTTTGGCTCCTCATTTGTAATCCTAGCAGCACCTGAATACAATGGGTGATTGCACCGTTCCCCAAGAAAGTTGAGGATCTTTCCCAACTTACGAGAAAACATCCACGTCAGTCCAATCTTCTGGGAGTCTGCTACTAAACTGAACTGAGTCTACGTATCTCGCCTCTGTTGCTGCATACTCCCAAAGTAATCCACGATCGGCAAAAACCTAACCTGAAGTGGGGGTAACATAAATCTCCCTGCACGGTTGTGGCGTTGGCCGTAAGGTATCGACTCTGATATCCTAAAATGCCCTTTGTCAAGCCTATCCCGCGTTTAGAGTTGGTGTCTCAGTCCCATTGTCCTCCATCGTCACCAAAAATGGCCCCACCGATGTTACTCTACTGGTAAGTTATCTTGTGATCTCAGGTTTCGCCGACGTAGGATGATGTGCTTCTCATTCATGTTGAAGGAATGTGTGTTCCAGAAACCGAATGTTGAGTCCACCGTTCAAACTGTCATGGTCTCCCCAAAAAAAATTGACAAACATCCATAGGAATCACATCGCACCACACTTGATCCTGTAGCTGGCTCCCAATCAAAAACCACACTAAGCACCTCCGGTCCATGCTGATTTTGTTCTCATTTAGCCAGTCAAAGAATATGACCGAGAATACCTTCGAGTAATGAGACCCAACTTTTCTACCACCCACGTAGATGCCACATTCTTACTACTCCCCCATCGACGATCAGACTAAATATCTTCCCGTTCACTGTGCAGCGAGTATAGAATATATTGTGGCGAAGCCACTGCAAATCCCTCGTATCCTCAACTTACATGATTTGTCCAACCACAAGTGCCTCTCCTTCATCTAGTGGCAGATGATACACCTCACCTTGTTCCTCATCTTTCTCATCATCGCTAATCTCCTCCACGAAGCCCAACTCGAAAAAAGACATGGCTCGAGTCATCGAGTAGCTGGAGGCAATGTGCTCAAATATGTGGCATTTGAAACATTTTCTAGTGGGGATTGTAGCAGGCGTGCCACTCTTCTCAGGTTTCTCCTCAGTGGAGGGGGGGGGGGCGATATCCTTATCTAGACCAGCTTTCTCAACTCACTGTGATATGCTCTTTCATCAACTACAATCAAGTGTTAAAGAGAAGATTGCATTTAAGAGATATTATTTATCTAATTAGTTTGGATTCAATTGATAAAAGTTATGAATGATTGATTGGAGAAATCAAGAATCCTGATGAGCAACAATTTAGAGACAAATTAAAGAGGTACAAAATGTTAGTCAAAAATGGTCTATAACAATTAGTCGGGCGGCAAAAAAAAGGGGGGATTCATCTACAATGATGATGAGTATACCAACAATCATGATGAGTTCACCTCAACATGTATCCGCTTCTTCTGTGCCATATAGAAAAGATGAAACTTATCAATAAGAAGAAGAAAATTTTGAACATGAAAAAATTCTACCTGAAGGGAAAGGAGATTATCTAAATGAAAAGATGATGAAGACTACTGACTTACTTTAGCTTATTTTATAAAATTTGAGGCTTTATTTGTTATTTATGCTTTAAAATTTAGATATTGTTGAGTTAAAACAATTTTCGCAATGTTTTAGTTCTTAAATATGGAGATGAACAATTAAAAAAAGTTTGAAATTTTAATTTGCAGTTTCTTGTTTAATGTTCGTCTTCAAGCTAGGTATTAT